GTGAGAGCTCATGATGTGGTAAAGCAATTAAAAACTGACTACCAGTACTGCAACAGGCCAGGAGCAAGAGAAATGCAAGAGGCTCATGCCAAACATTTTCTATGTTCTAGCTGCCAATCCAAGGATTTAGAAGTGTATAGGTAGTTCATGGATATCGTGCAGTGACTTGATAAAACTGTTTTATCAGCATATCTGTCCATTGTTTGATTATGTCACTCACTCCCACTCTTCTACTGTGAATGAGGCATTTGAAAACTTCACTGTGTCTACACCTGCTTTTAGTATAGCTAAATGGCCAGAGGGGTAAGAAAAATTCTCTGTGTATAATGTCAGCTCTATCCTGGCTGGAAAATGATGTCCAACTGTAATAACTAGAAATACATGGCACAAGTGAAAGCCCCAGCAAACTTCCAAGGGCAATCCTCTTATCTAAGAACTGAAAGTCTACAATTTTATAGTACAAAAATTTGTATTTTTGTAGAGAAATGGGTATTTGTCATTGTGAAGCTGGAAAAAAAAAGAGATAGAATTCAAAGAGCTTATCAAGAAAAGCAGCAAAATAATCAGTGATTTTAAAATTTCCTTGCAGTGACAAGCTTGATAAAAATGAACTATATTAGAACTCCAACAGAATTGTCTGCCAGCAGGAAGACATGACTTGCCAATACTATACACATTCCTGAACAGTAGCATGGTGCTGCCCCTTGTGTTCAGAGGGCTTTTCCAGCTATTCTTTCCTCTTGGCCTCAGAGCTGCTGCCAATATAATGAATCACATTACACAGCATTTTGCAATTTTCTTACATATTGATAAAATTTAGACATGAGTACAACCTGTAGCCCAAAATTAATACTAACAAGAGTTTTCAAAATAGATCTTTTTTTACCTTTCATTTTTATAGCAACTATAATTGAAGTTGCTTGTCTTGCTAATATTTATTAAACATGCTTTAATATTTATGTTATTTTGATTAACAGAAAGTTCCCTGATGGCTTTATGGTCATTAATTCATAATAATATGAGCGCTGTATTAGTACAGTGATTCAGTTTAATTTCCATTTCCATTCAAGTGTTGCTTAAATTCAAAATATTGCCAAGATAAGATACTGCTAATGAACACCTCAAGGAGGCACAGTACTTGGCTATACACTGCAGTGGCAACTTGGTTTGCTGAAAAATAAAAGATCCAGAAGATTTGTTCTTATTTTGCACAAGTTTCAGCACAAAACCATACTAATAGTTTGGACTATGGAAAAACATAAGAATATGAAATCCTACACTAAGTATGACATGGGCTTTTATCAAGGCATAGTCATGAAGCATTTCATTAAGAGAAATGGAGCTCAAGTTATTACAAGCAATGCATATTTCAAGGATTAGAATGTACTTAACAACATGCTGCAAACATGAAAAATGCTTCAAGTGCTCAGTATTTATCATTATCAGTGGAACCTTTCTAACTGAGGTTTCATGCATCAACACCACACTCCTTCATGAAGGGAACCATAAGAGAGGTCAAGCCTAAGGAAAATCAGCTCAGACCCAAAAGAAAAGTTTATCTGTTCCCTTAAAAAACACAGATGACCAGCCAGCTGTAAAGGAGGCAGATTCTCAAGTCCCAACTGTCTGAGCGCCCAAGTTGCATCTCTTGTCTCCCTGACCAAAGCTTATGCAAACCAGGATTCTCATCAGTTTGGATTATTTAAATAGACAAACAAAAGCTGTGAAATATTAAAACCCTTTTATTGAAGAATACTATAGTTGTGTGATGTTAAAACCATTTAACATAGTAAATGGTAAAATTGATAATAATTGTTGATTGTAAAATTGATAACAAAGGCTCAGAGATGCCAAGAAAAACAAAATAATCCTTCTTAACTGGACAACAAGATGACTGGCAGTTTCCAGCTACAATATAAAACTGAGGGGAAGGCACTACAGAGGAATATGGAAGAGACATCCTATAAATGAAAACAAGGCTTTAATCAGAGCACACACGTCTACTATAGCTTTTGAACTTCACAGTTATGTTTTCAGTTCAAAACCCGACAGACAGAATGGCATAAAGAAAACTTCAAAACACTCGATATTAGCCAATCTTCAAAGTGGCTTTCATAAATCTCAAATTTCAACAGCAGCAGTACATTTCAGTGTGAATTCCCCTACCACTAACACACTAACATTACTAATAGTAATAGAAACTCACAAATGAAATAATATTACTTAGCTGGGGAATGGCTGTTATGACAATCCTTAAACACCTTCAAGACTTCACCTCAAAACTTTTTAAAACATTCTATTTCACACTTATTTGTGACAATGCATTTCTCACAACACCCTTCTCTACAGGAAAGACAAAACAACTACTGTGTCAACAACAAAATTTTGTTGACACAGTAAACACACACCCACAAAAATCTTTGCCAACAGTATTGTAAATGAGTTGTTCCTTCCATTAGCTGGGCTATTATAAAATCAAAACCAATAATATGCAGAGGAGGACTAAGATTGGAGATTAATGTTCCTCCATGCTTTTCAGCATTATAAAGCTACTTTTATAACACTCCAGCAAATTGTACAGTGACTGACATGAACAAAATGACAGTAATCTGTCACTACTTCACATTTCCCACTAGGCTGATTCAAATAGTTATTTATGAACCTTACACTTCAATGGTCACTTTGATGACTAAACCATAAATTAGAATGTAAAGTGAATATAAATTTGATTTTAGAGTAACAACAAATTGTCAGCAAAGAGGGATATTATTTAATTTCTACTGACATACTAGGAAAAAAGTCAGCAACACCAAGATGAACCACATCATAATAAACCCCAAACTTAGCAAAAAATTGTATGCTAGATCCCATGTTTGTTTCAGTTCTTCTGCATTTAAAAATAAAACCACTTTCTATTATGCTTGTTTACTTTTAAATATAAAGTCTTAATAATGTCAGACGACTTCATTACTTAGGTCTTCAATTAAACAGAGAGGGAGAATGAAGTTTTTCGACAAAGCATGATGAAATTTGACAGCAAGTAAATATTAATATGAACTTAGATGCTCAGGTTTTTAATAGTCCTGATGAAAAACTTTTAACATGGTGTTGCTATTTTTACATCATTTATCTCTTGCTTTACAGATAGGAGAGAGATGACACCGAAACATAACAGAAGTTCTGCAAAGCACAATTTGCAATTTTTTATGAAAAAAAGTCTTTAATACCCAAACAATCAACTCTTGCAGGGTTGCATGTAAAAAAATTATCTTGATAAAATAATTTTCTTCTGTCTGATTATTTTTTGTTAAAAATTCCATTGCCTATTATGTTACTGTATAATAACATTTATTATCCATTACTCTTGAAAACATGTAAGATAAACCCTTCCAAAAGCGAATGCAGCGTGATTGTACTTTCTCTGGAAAATGTCTAGAAGTGCAACATTAAAGAGCTACTTCAACATAACTTTAACTGTCTTAGCAATTAAAAATGGAGAGTCGTGTCAGTGTCTTTAATATTCCTTGCTTTTCAAGTATATTTTCCTTGAAATTCTTACATGGAATGACAGCGATCCGATTTAAAACCAACTTCAGCAATTTGGCTTTTAATGTTGGAAAAGGCCCTTAAATAGCTGATGTTTGAAACAAACATGCAAAACCCTCTAGGCTTAGCAATAACTGAGGCCATTCTGAATTATTCTGGCATGTCCCAGTGATACAGTAATAAATGCATAACAGAAGGATGCTGACTGATGCTGAGGGAAAATCTTTGGGCTAAAAGAAAACTTCAAAAAAGGTGCAAGGACAAAAGTCCAGTCTGGGAAGTCTATTTTAGAGAAATAATATCTTTTTTTCAGGATCTACAGAAAGAATCTGGGTTTACACAGGATTTAGATAGGAAAGAGGAGTTTTATTTTAAAATTTGTCCCAGACCTATTAGGACTCAGATCAGTATAATCATGTTTTGCTGAGAAAAAAAAAGTTGTAAAGTTTTTATTTAGCAAGACTTTATCTTAAGCGAGAATTAGAAGAGCTGAAAATGCCAATTATCACCTACAGATCTGAGACAAAACACCCCAACATTCAAATGTAATTGCATTGCAACAATCCATTCCAAATTACTTTGTTGAGAAACCCTTAAATAAAAAAATTAGTGTTTGAGTTAAAAAAAGATAGCAAAAACTATGGGAGCACAAAACAACACCCTGGGAGATGAAAAAAAAACCCAAACCAAAAACTTGCACCTAAGCATCCATACTTAATTGTCAAATCAAAGAGCCCAGCTCCCTACTAAAATAAGAACACATCTAACTGACCTGCTGGTTGTTTAAAGAGCCATATTAAACCAAACCATGGAGGAGCAGGCGCACATATTCATTCAGGGTTTAATAAAAGTACTACTGAGCTCTGGCTGGTGTCAGCAAGCACAGATTTTGCAACGAGGAGCAGCTTAATCACTGCAAGTTCTCACAGAAAGTTCAGGCATAGAAATTTGCTTTCTTCCAATTTTTAGTGGTCACTTTAGATAGACAGTGGGTATGAATGGGAAGTTAAAAAAGTATCTGAAGTTCAACCAAGTCTACTTAATTTCTTAGTAACATGGGACCTAGTGGAAGGAACAGAGATGCTATAAATGCTACTCGGACAAGAAAAATATTGCTGATGACTTAAATTTTCCAAAGAAAAACCTATAACCCTGTTTGAACACATTTAGCCAGCATTTATTTAATTCACTTCAGGATTTTCTTGTTCTGTTACTATTCTAACACTGTATCTAGAGATGGGAAAAAACAAACACAGAAGAAAGTGCGACTATTTGGAGGGTCAAAGTCACCCCTCTGAACCTATGATAAAAAGATTAACAAATTCAGAAAAAAAGCTGATGCTCATCTAGAGATGTTTTGAACAAGGAAACATTTTTTTTTCCATCTCTAGAGTAACAAGACAGTTAAATGAGTAGTGAACAACTCCCATAAAAAATTAGAGAAATTAACATACCTGCCGTTGAATAACCTCTAGGTTTGCTTTGGCTTTATTCAGTAGCTCTTCTATTTTTTCAGAATCTGCTATGTTCTTGTTTTCTCTAAAGGCATCTTTTATCCTTCGGATGGCGTAGTTTCTAAACACAAACAATAAGAGGACATGCATTCATAGACATGCCATGATTTATGTCATTTCAACATTCTTTAAAACATGCTGATGCAAAAAATAAAATGCACACCTCCCATATATATATATATATATATATTTTTTTTTTTTTTTTTTTTTTTTTTTGGCTCAGTTTTAGACACATAATTTTATTCAGGGATTTGTCTTGCCCAAGCTGAAGTAGTGATCAGATCCTCTCCTAAACAAAAAAAAGGTTCTATTAGAGGATCTGTAGAAAAATGTCATATTTCAAGTACCAGTCCAGTCCTAACTGCTTGTTTGTGCTGAAGCCATACTGCTGGATGCCCAGCATGGAATACTGCAAAACTCAAGAACACTACTTGGCTAGTAGTAAAGGCTAAGGACCAGAAAATCATTCCCCAGATGATTTTGAATCAGCGTGACTATTCTTAACCTGCATATCCAAAAGGTCATTGTCACAATATACATTTCTACTAGATGCAGTGTTGTTATCTAGTAGTCAATAGTGTCAGATTGATGGACCAGTTAACACAAAAAGGGCTCCTTCCCTGTCACTCTTTTCCTCTCCTGACAAGGTGTATTTCACCCCTCAGTCCAACACCTCCTCATCCATTTCCCCACTAAGAAGCAATAACAGAACATGATTTCTGCAAGATGGCAGATGTTGTGATCTCTGCTTGCAGAGAGGAAGGTCCAAAGCTGCAGCTTTCCCCAAATCATGCCCTTTCTTTCCAACACAGTAAAGAACTTTCACACAGTCTGTAGTGTACTGTCATCCTGCCTTCCCTCCCCCACGGTCAGGCCCAATTTCCATATGAAAATAAAATTTTCAGATGGAGCAGTGGATACTTCCTTTACACGGGTCCTTGGGAGGAACTGGAGAAATGCAGTAAACTGATCTTGCTCATCTATCTTCCTCATGTTCCTCTGTACCACCACATCAGTATCACTTTTGCTACAGAAAGTAAAACGCTATGTGTGGCACTGGAAGGAAACAAAAGGCTGCAAAATTTCCCCACAATTAGTTTAATATTTCAACAACCCTTTCCAATCTTGTATAGAAGTGGAACATGAGAGACAAAATTGTCTGAAACACTATCACAGAAAATCTAAGGACAAGACTGAAAAATAAAATTATTAGGGGAGAAGACTGAGGAGAGAGGAAGAAGAGGAAAGATGAATAGCCAGTGGCACTCCATTCCATTAGATGGTGCTATCCAGCTCCTAATGCAGCTTTCACCAGCCAAGCAGCGTATTTTGTCTTTGAGCTCATAAATAATACATTTCAATCACAGGAATCGGGACGGCTGTGGAGTGCCACTCTGCCACCGCACTCTGGCAGATGGTGTGTGCTTTTAATTAGGGCCTGCTCACCTCTAATGTGACACTGGGGTGCGTGAGGGAGTGAGCCAGAGTGTGTTTGGATGTGTGAAGTTAATAGAATGTATTAAATATGGAAGCTCAATCTCATCTGCAGCTGTTGTCCTAGCAAGACATGAAGGGGAAGCTGATTATTTCTTCTAGAAAAGAAACAACCCCAAATCATTAATATATAGTGTAATTCTGTTGCTTGATAATGGAGAGATTTCAAATCACCCCATATACACCTGTAGGGTTAAACTGTGCAAAACATAGTATTTTTTGAAAGAAAGGACAGGTTACCAAGAGATACAACAACAAACATTCATCTATTTAGCTTAAAAGAAAAAACAACAGCATGTATCTATTAGTGGGTACAAGTCTTTCAAAATGCAATATAAATGAGTAAATGCTATCTACATAAAAGAGATAGATGGGACAAAACCAAATTGTTGTTCAGTATATCACCTACACACTGGAGGTGTTTTTTTCGTTTTGTTTTGTACATATGGTGTGTTAATTGTTCTATTTTCTCTCTCTTCCTCTAATTACACCTAACAATTGTTGAGAAAGAAAAGATATGTATATAGAAAACAGACCAATTTTTATCTATAATCACAAAGCTGCATTGTTTTTACCTTCTATTTTTTTACCTTCTGATTTTTTAAACTTCATGAGTTTTAACACCCAAAGGAAGTTACTTTAAATAGGCTTTAACACAATCTTAATTCTACATCTAAATCCATATCTCTAAACACAATTCAAAGCTCTATAGCCTGGCACTACTCTTTACCACAGTTACACTGAGATTTAATGTATCACTTAAAAGAAGGATGAGCTCAATTCAAAGCTCAAACCAATACTATAATGACTGTAAAATATCCTTTCTTCCCCATTGAGAGGTGTCAGGGAAATATTTTACAAACATTCAAATTCTTTAAAATTATGTAAAAAGTGTTAAGCCAAGATATAAACAAACAGGAAGGCTTTTTTTTTTCTTGTATGTGTGTGTTTTTTTCTTTTAAACAACACCTTTTTATATGCAACAACAGTTGTGAGCAGTGTCAATTCAGCACCTCGACACGTTCTACATTTCAACAGTTCCTGAACTGAGAATGCATTAAAAGCTAGAAATACCATAACAAATGCAATATTGCTTCAAGTTATGAAGAACTAAGCCCTTCTGAAAGTACAGTAGTGTGTGTAAGCAACACATGTTTGAGAATAACTTGTTCATTCAGACATGTATTTGTTGGGGTTTTTTTACAGAGCACTGCTCCAGAGATGATCTGGCTGACGAACAGACTAGTCTGCTGATCAGCTGCTCGAATGGAGTGTATTTTCAGTTCAATGAGCATAACACACCAAACCCAAACCTGTGACATTTGAAGGCACACCTAGAAATGCTAGTGGCAGCAAATGCATGGTTGTCTTCATAAAACTTTACATTACCCTAAAAGAAGCACTATCTGCAGACAACGCAAGAGCTGAAAAGAAGCCTGGCAAGTAAAGTGATGGCTGTACCTTATGGATGATTATTTACCCAAAGGGGCACAAAGGAACTGCAACAAGTTTAAGCCAATGTGAAGAGGAGCTATTGCAATTTCACCACCCTGGCAGACACAAACCCTCCCTCTGTCCCCTTTAGACCAGCACAGTCAGTCTGATATTTGGCCCCAGCTGAACTAGTCCAACCTCAGAAATTGACAGAAGGCCACCTACTACAAGAGTTAACTATATTTTTAGTTATTTTGGGCTTTTTTTGCAGATTAGTGAGCTTCATCAGCTCTCCATGGAACTGGATAATCTGGATAATAATCTGGATAATAACATCACTGAGGAGGGGGGAATACAGCAGTACTGATTTTCATGGATAGAGTTTGCAATTGATCCCATTAGAGACCAAGCAAGTCACACAAACAAAGAGGACCTTTCAGTGAGAAGGTACCAAGCTAACTCTCCAGAGAAACAGAATAGGAAAGCAGTTTTGGATACAGTACACTCAAAGAGCTCCCATAGACCAGTGGGAAAAGCCTAGTTCCTAATGCAGTAGTATTCATTAGGAAACATAATTTAAATTAAGTCTTAAACTACATTTCACCATTCATTATTTTTCCCACTCATTTTTTGAAAACAGATATTGAAACATTGCTGAAAGACACAACAAGGTATTTTGCTTTTATCATCCAAGTGCACTGAAATTTGATTAGAGAATACCTTTCACTTTATCTTCTGCAAAGACTCTTCCAGCGACCAGGGACAGTAGGACCCAAGCAAGACTGTACAGTTCAATATATTCACTCAGCGCTCTCATACATATGCGCACTCAAAACACCTCTTGTGATCCCTACTCATGTGCATCTGTCACACAATTAATTCCCAATTAAATCAAAATGATGTCCTCGATGGGCAGTAGACTCGGTGTGATGGCTGCAGACCAAGGCCACTGCAGGCGGATGGCGACACAAGGCAAGAGATGCACATCAGCAGAAAGCAGGAGTGGTTGGGCCTTAATATGAAAACAAGGCCAGGGCCAAACATTACCACATACTCTCACGACACTGGGCACTGCCTGCTAATGCTATGAGACTGCAGTACTGCCAAATAATAGTAAAAACTAAAGAGAAAGCAGTCTTTGGCCCAATACTCTACCTTCAAAGAGTTCCTCTCTTTTCTTCCCAGAAGCACAGTCAAAAGCCTAACGCATCCTCATGAAAATGAAGTCTACAAGAAGCAATGTCTGAAACAATGTCTATTAATGAAAAATGAAATCACAATCCAGCTACTTCAGAAAATAATAACTCCTTGGGGACCTATATATTTCATTTCAAAATGTTTTCTTATGTCATGCCTGACCAAAAAAAAATAAAAATCTTTGTACTCTGCTAAATGAAAAGAAGCTGAAACGTCACACAAACATTCTTGCTTAAGCACACAGTTATGAGCTTTCAGAATAAACCTGGCCAAGCAATGTTTTTCTCAGCACCACTTTGCATTTACCAGTATCACAACACACTAAAGGTTTAAGTCATCTTTCCAAGACATCTTTCCAAACATGCTGGCTTTGTGCCTGTCAACAAGTGCAACATATAATAGGTCACATCATAGTCACAGGCACCACACTGCGGAACACAATGGCTATTAAAAGTTATTGGCCATTGAGCACGCACATGAAGACAGAAGAGGACAGACAGTTGTGGTACACAATCTGTGCAAGCAAGTGCACAAGGGAAGGGGCCACCAGGTTAGAATATTCATAGTCGAGGCTTTCAAAAAAGGTCTAGAGTAAAATGCATTTTTCCTTATTAGCTTCAGTTACATTCACTAAATTAAGGCAAGCAAGAAGGAGCCAAGCTCTAGGAAGTCCACTGGGGTTAACAGCTCTGGAATGAAGAATATGATGCTTTTATTTAAAGACACAACGTGTAAAAGTGAAATGCTCATTTACAGTAGAGTAGCATTACATCAAGTGAGGGACCCTTTTCATAAAAGGTCTGTTTGCTTTTACTGAACTATATTTTCTTACCACTGCTGTCTTCCAGCTAACATCTATTTACTTATGATAGCAACAGAATGAACTTTCAGAATTTCCCATTATTACTAGCAAAACATGCACTAGATGAGATCTGC